GTTAATACAAGATAAAGTCACAAGTCAAAGCTACTAGAATTCCCACGGTTCTGTGGTTTTAAACTCACAAAGGATGCAGTGAAGTGGGAGGCCCTCAGGGAGCCTGCATCACCCAGCACCTCTAACTCACCACGTTGGTGTAAGGTCCCTAGGTGATTTTATGTCAGTGGAGGATTGGGTATGTTGGGGCTCCACTCTGCCATGCCCCAGGCATGCTCCCCCCTCCACATCAGGGGCAGGAGGCTTAAGCTGGAGTCAGAGGCAGCGGTGTTGCCTCTTCAGCTTTATGGCAGTAGAGAGTACCCATAGGCAGAAGGGGCCACTTTTGGACAGTTTGTCTACTTTTGAGCAAAGTGGATGAATCAAACCATAGAATTGGGCCCATAGAATTTGATGAGATCAGCTCTTATAGTCAAAGGCTCTCTGTGGAACCCTGTGGTAATGGTTCAAAAAATATGGGAGGTGGTTGTTAAGGAAAAATTACCACACCAATTATGTACCCAGCAAACTAGACAAAGGACAAATAGATACTGAGATATTTGGTTACCATTAGTCAATACTCAGACAAAAAAAAAAAAATCACCTGCCAAAAAAACCATACCTGTCCAATATTTTTGCCTATTAACATTTGATAGACACATAGAAAACATGTAAGCAGAGATTTCTCGATTTAATAGTCACGAGAAACAGCAAGTTGTAGGCAGAATACAGATGTTCACTCTGTACTATGGTTAACACCCTGTTAAATAGAGAGATCTGATGATTATATTACTGTACAGTGTTTCTATAAACAGAAGCTCGCTCTCGTTATTATTGTTTTGTCTGATAATTACATGGCTAGGATTTGTGAACCCATTAAAACTTCCTAAATAAATCATTAAAAAAATCAGACCCCTCTCGTATTTTCACAAGAGATAGGCTTTGCACCCATATTCTTGGCTGGAATCACTTTCCCTCCTGTCCTCTTTTAATGCACTGTGTTTTGTGCCATTTACTACCCTTTCCCCCAAAAGGTGGCTGTTTTTTCAGTAATGTTTACTTCAGTAGAGCTCCTATAGGGGTGTAGGGTCTGTCTGTGCCTGGCAAAATTAGAGCAGTAGGTTGTAAGATTGCGAGGCCGTAGACTCAAAGGTTCTACTGTGTGTCAATGTAAAATGATATAGTATTACTTGCAGTTGCCTCTTAAAAGGTTTTGAACTCTGGGATCCACTTGGCACATACTGCGGTCCTGATCCTGCGTCAGCATGGTGCAAACATCACCGCATCATGACAACCACTGTCCTGGTGCCATTGGTGACTTTTCATACATGCGGGGTTCCTCACTAGTTGACTCTCGGTTTAGGTTTGGTGCTCTGGGGCTTGATCTTGCCCCATTCAAGTCAATGGATACCCATGGACTTTAATAGAGTAGGATCTAGCCCTTTGATGACCATTGAATAAGATCATATGCAATGAGGTGACCTTGTAATTCTACTTCAGTAACTTTTTCCACTTGCAGTATCTCATTCAGCGTGGAAAGGCTCTGTCTCCTATGACCTCATGTCATATAATTCCTGAAGAATAGATATTCTAAAATAACTAAGTATTTTTTTAAAAAGACAAAACAGTCAACGGTTACCAAACTGCTGAATTGTACTGGGGAACGTTGGGGCTCTTTTATTAAAATCTCAGGACCAAATTCCAGCTTGGAGCCTCATGTACAAATTCCATTGTGTGAGAGCTGCAACTAAGCCTCAGACAGAATCCGATCATAAGGTAGGCCTAGGAGTGTGATTCAGGAGCTTTGGATTCTTCCTCTGGCTCTGTCACTGACTTGCTATGTGACCTTGTACAAGTCACTTCTTGCTGTGCCTCCGTTTCCCCTTCTACCATCTGTCTGTTCATTGTAAGCTCAGGAGGACATGGTCTCTCTCACTCTGTTTGTACAGTGGGGCTTCTGGGTGCTGCTGTGATACAAACAATCATTAGGAAAATGGGTGAGCCTTCTTTATTGGCACCAGTGCATAAAAATAGTTGCCTACACATTTTCTCGGAGGACGCACCCTTTCTTTTCATTTTCTTTCCTATTTACATTCTGCATCCTTGCTGTGTGTGTGTGAGAGAGAGAACGAGAACATTTGATGTGAGCAGTTTTGATATAATGTGTGATTCATTTGTGGGGAGAAGGAAATCAGCACTGAGCAAAATGCAGCACTTCATTATGGTACAAAAATAGATTGTGCTATAGAATGTAATGAAAAAGTGAACAGTTTGCATATGAACTAGCCATTCAGTGGCTGTGCCTCATAGTCCAGAAAGCTCAAGAAAATGAGCCTTTTCATAGTCTCGCTTTTTAAACGTCAGTTTTTCTGTTTCACTGCTAGTGGGGGTTGTTTTTGAACCAGTGTGACGTTATCTGCTGACACATTCTGACTGTACAGCTTTTATTTGTGGTTTGCTATTTTTAAGAGACAGTCACAGTCAACAGTTTGGGTTCTTCGTTTTGTCGTCTCCCCTGCCATCCCCCCAACGCACGTGCATACACTCATTTTTCCATCAAGAAATTACCTACTCAAGTGCTGTCCAACAATCGTCTTCTTACAACTCTTTGTCAGTTTATCAGTTACCAAAAAATAAAGGGTTAATATAAATTCATATTGCAATGAATCCAATAATAAGGGTGCGTTTATATGTATACATGTTTGTCAGAACTTTTAATTTAGCTAAACATTTTCCGTAAAGGGCATGGTCAGTTCATTTGAGTCCAAAATGTAGGTATCATTTAAAGCAATGTTTTAAAAAATCAGAATATGAAATGTTTGTGAAATAAAACCATCGTGTTGTATGTCCAGACGCACAATTCTCAGTGGAGATTAAACATGGGATCTTCAGCATTATGGGTCTGATCCAAAGCCTATTGAATCAGTGGGAAGATTCCTATTAACTTTGGTGGGTTTATAATCCGGTCTGTATTACCTGAGTCCAAGGAGAATTCCTGAACTGTTATCTAAGTATCAGTGGCAGTCGTCCATCTTGAAAGACGATGGCGTAAGCAATAAAGCAGTTCAGTTACTATGTGTCATACTGCAGCATCACAAGTGGCTAAAAGTCCAATTCGCGAGTTACAGGCCTTGTCATATAATCCATGTGTAAAACACAGGGCCAGAAGAAGAAGCTGGGGTACTATTTGCATGTGAGGCCTGCTGAACTTTCTTCTTCATTTTTCACTTTCCTCTTTCTGTAAGTGGTGGGCTGTAATAGTAGATGGAACCAGCCATTGGAAAGTTCTGTCTATGTAACCATCCTCTCCATGTATTTACCTGTCTAGTTATTTTTATTATAGGGGTGGGTATGGGCATCTGATGCCATTGCCATTTATCCACACAAGGTTCTCTGCGTTTTTCTCTTTCTACTTTCACAATTGAGCTGGACAGTATTACACACATGAAGCCCGTTTATTGTATTTATTATTACTCGTTATTGATATTTATTTTAATTCAGTGAAAATGGGATTTGGGGATTTAAAGCTTCCCCTGCAACATTCTGCATCAAAACACAACAGTTTTGTGCTAATACGTGAGAACCAGAAAGTGAAACCTAGTAGAGAGGAAAAGAAAGTGGCCAGCCAGTTTTCACTTTTCAAGCTTCAATAAGTGCAAAGTGTGACCTAGAACACAGTGAAATAACAAATTTGTTTATAAAAATTCCTTCAGATTGCTAAACTAAGGCATTGAAAACTAATTTTACATTTTATCTTCCCGGGATTTATTTAAATAAAATGTTCCTTGTAACTATGCTAATATCTATCATTACCCACCAAGTTTTCTTGGCAAATTCCCCCTGAGGTTTGGCCAAGAATTAAACCCTAGAGTGGTTGGACATTTTTCTGTGATTTTATATTATATATATATATATATTATAAAAAGACTCATTTTTGTCCTAGTTCATTCATAGAGGCTCAACTCCTCAGAAGTTGACTGCTATGCTGATTAGCACGTTTTCAGTCTTGTAATATGTCCACATCAAATTAAGTCTACTCTACTAATTTGTTCCACCTCCAGGACCTCATGTAGCATCAAAGTGCAGTCTCAGAGGTATATTAGTCACTCCTCTGTCCAGTCACACAGTGAACTTTTGCTTCAGAGTAGAGGGGAAAAATTCAAAGCAAAAGAATAATTTTTTTACATCCTTAATGGTTTTGTCTGGGTGTTTGGTTTTGTTGTTATAGATAAAATAAATGTGTGTTAAGCTCTGTTCCAAACTCAGTCGATAGGAAGTCACCAAATGACATCATGTTCTCTTTTGGGGCTTGAGTTCCACATGTCCAGCACTTCCTCAGGATCAGGCCCTGACTGAACAGTTGTCAGTGTCTCTGATTTATATAAAAAGGGAATGGTCAGAGGGTAGCTGTTCCATTGTGTTACCGTGCTACCTTTAGGGCTGGGTTCAAACCCTAGCTCGGGACAGAAATGGACTGAAATTAGTGTCAGTCTGTATCCTAGTGGGCATTTATCCATAATGGATAGTTTGCAGCAAGATGATTGTCTTTGCTCGAGAGAGACCCAGTACAGGAATATGAAGGGAGTGTAGTTCAGGACTGAGCGATGCTAGCAGAGCTCTTGTTTGTGGGGAAAATGTAACAAGCACTAAGAATCCTTCACTCACTGATCAAACACATGGTGGGTGGAATGAAAGTTTCACACAATGAATGGTCAGAGGGTACTCAAGAAAAATCAGTCATGTTGGGAATGCTGCCAAAGCAATAAGATTGTTTAATAATGTTATTGAAAAAGTGATACAGTGACAAATTTATGTCAGACTTGTGTTGTGCATGAGGTTACTCATCCCAGGCCTAGCCCTGAAAAGCCTTACTCACACGAGTAGCCCTGTTGACGTCAGTGGGAATACTCCTGTGAGTAAACTTTTACAGAATTGGGGCCTATTGCAATCATTTTCTTGGTGCCACTATGTAATATAATTCAATAAAAATTAAACTATTCCTTTTATTCTTTCATAGGGTCGTCATGTTAAAACAGGACAGCTTGCTGCGATTAAGGTTATGGACGTCACCGGGGTAATGTATCCTACTTTGGCTATTTCTATATCCATAAATTACTAACAGGAGTGGGAGGGAAGTCACGTGAAACAATGTGATGACTCATAAAAGGATTCTGTTTGGGAGAAGCAAGTGTATTAGGGCCCAGTCCTGCTCCCACTGAAGTCCATGGCAGAATTCATTTGGACTTCAGTGGGAACAGGGCCAGGTCCTGAATACAAGCTTTGTTATACAGCTGTTTAGTGCTGACAATAAACATAATCTAAGGCCCCAATCCTACCAAGACTGATGTTTGTGAGAAACTTTATTCATGTGAATAGTTCCATTGTAGTCCATGATACCATTCATGTACGTAAAGTTACTCATATGCATAAGTCATTGACTAGTTACCAAATTAGGGTCCCCAGTCCTGCAGTGAGTCTAACCAATTATATTATGTGTATGTCTACATTGCTGCCACTCACACCCCTGACTGCAATGAAGATGTACCCTATATGTATCTAATTAACACAGTTTCATAGTCATAGAAAAAAATGTATTGCAGTGATCACATAAACATGGAATTTACATGAGATTGAGAAAATGAATTTTTTCCAGATATTAATTGAATAACAAGATTAATGGGAAAGAACTTCTAACCATTTCCCAAAAGGCCACTGAAGAAAAAGCAGTGTAATTCTTGTACTTCTTGGAAGCCTAAACAGATGCATTTGAGAAGGTTACTTAGTAAGAAAGAGCCTTATTCAAGAAGGAATCACGCCTTGCGAAGTTCCTGCCTGGATAAACAATGCCAGATTTGAGATCAAGATTTTGTTTTTTAAATGAAATTACAAATTTCAGAATATAGGATTTGATCCAGATCCTCCCACCTTTATTTTTTTAATTAACATTTTTGAATTAGTTTTCAGGAATATAACGTACAAAACTACATAGATACATAGAGATAAGAGTAGTCAATAGGCCTCACAAGCATGTGTAGCTTTACCTTAGAGCAGGGCTGCCCGGGGGGGGGCAAGTGGGGCAATTTGCCCCAGGCCCCGGGCCCCACAGGGGCCCCCACGAAAATATAGGATTCTATAGTATTGCAACTTTTTTTTATGAAAGGGGCCCCCGAAATTGCTTTGCCGCAGGCCCCCTGAATCCTCTGGGCAGCCCTGCCTTAGAGAGAAAAATGATGTGTGGAAACAAAGAGTAAATAAATGTAAGTGAGGTGGGAAGGAGGTGGAAAAAATATCCCCTAGTATAGTTCACCTCAGAATTTCCAGAAATCAGATTATACAGGAAATGGACAGGTGAGATTCAACAAAGATAGCCAGGCCACTTTGTGGCAAAAATGGGTAAATGATGAGCCCACGAGGTTTGTTTGGGTCTGGATTAGATTTTAGCCTGAACTCTAAATTTCCCTTTTGACACCAAACTAGGGCTAAATTTGGGTCAGAGTGGCAGTCAGTACCCTAAATTTCATCAGCTGCTTGCTACAGATTTTGGAAGAAAGTAGCAAAAATCTAGTGAGACACGCTGATCTTGCAAGATTCCTCCCCCCTTAGGACACATCTGAAAACAAGAGCCTTCTGGCTTAGGATCTGAATCACCACGCAGGGGTGGGTTTGGATCTGGGGGATTCAAATCTGAATCCACCTTATTACAATTTCAGTTATGATGTAGGCAGGGCATAGCCAACAAAAATGAGCAGCAATTATCACTTTTCCTTTTGACTCTGTTTTAGGAAAGCCAGGATGGCAAGTGCTCCGCTTCCTGCTTTTCTTATATTGATGGGTGTGAAAACCTAAAACATTAAAGGTCCAAATCCAAATATTTGGTATTGATTGGATACTCTGTTCAGCTATTTAATTATTTAGCTCTCGTGTTGCACTTACCCCTATTTAAAAACAAAGGTTTTTTTTAAAAATGTACATTAAGCAATTCTGAAAAAACAAATGTGCAAAAAAGCAGAAAGCCTACCACAGCCTGGCCTCTGTTTTACTTCCCCTGCCACTCCTAAATGCTTTATTATAACTCCTACTAACCCTCAAACAACCCCAGCCATGAAAAAGCAAGTAGGAGAAATATACAAATGACAAGAGATTGCAAGTATCACCTGACCAGCTGTAGAAAGAAAAATGCAGATGCAAAAGGAGTCATCTGCACTTCACAATGGAAAATCCCTGTGTGATAAATCAGCCAACAGCTACTCCATCACGCTCATCACTGACAGTGCTGAAAGCGAACTTGTTTTGTAGAATCCCTAAGGCTCCTGGTCACAGTGCTTAGTTGTCCTTAACTGCGTTCCCCCTAATTGTATGGTACAGAAGGTTGCAGAAAGCTGCCCCCAAATTACTGCATTTGATCAGTGTGTGTAGTTACGATCTCTGAATTATGGACGAAGATTAATTTTTAAGGCGCTGGCCCTTGCACATACAATGTGACCTACTTCACAGAGATTATTGTAATAAAACTGATGGAGATAAAAGCATGGAAAAAAAGACTGCTGTTATTGTCTACGGCTTATGAGGCTTTTACTTTAGGATTGAGCAGCTACAGTAGCGCCAGATCTTGGGGCTGGTCCACACTAACCCCCCACTTCGAACTAAGATACGCAACTTCAGCTACGTGAATAACGTAGCTGAAGTCGAAGTACCTTAGTTCGAACTTACCGCGGGTCCAGACGCGGCAGGCAGGCTCCCCCGTCAACTGTGCGTACTCCTCTCGCAGAGCAGGAGTACCGGCGTCGACGGCGAGCACTTCTGGGATCGATTTATCGCGTCTAGACAAGGCACGATAAATCGATCCCAGAAAATCGATTGCTTACCGCCGGACCTGGAGGTAAGTATAGACGTACTCTTGGCGTAGTAATTCCTTTTTTTTAGAAATAAACGCCATCAAGGGTTTATCTGATGTCCCACCGCTTGTGATTTAATCAGAATTCACACTTTTGTTTATCTCTGTCACTGAAAGTCTCTGACACACCACATTGATCTTCAGCGTTTGATCTTTGTGTTTCGGCTTTATTCTTTATTTAAAATAATTTTAACCTGAAGAGGGACCCAAAATAAAACCTGGGCTCCAAATGTTCTTGCCTTTTTCTCTCCACTTTCATTAGCAGAGTGCTTCCAAACCTGTGGTCTGTGGATTACTGAAGGCCTGTGGAGCACTTGCTGGTAATTGCAGCAAGTTGGCAGGTCATACACTGCTGGCTCCTCCTTGCTTTCAGCTTCCTCTACAAGTGTTGAGCCTCTTCTTTGCAATGAAAAGACCCTAATAATAGAGCACCTAAATAAAAGTGCCATGATTTTTCAGGGGTTCCAGAGTGCCTACAAGTCCCACTGACTTCAGTGAGCACTGCCAATGAGCCTCTGAAAACTAGGCTGCTTTTAGTTCAGTGCCCAACTTTAGACACTCATGTCTGAACGTTTTGGTTCATGTCTGCTTTTAGGGTTTGGGCGTGCCTGACCCTTTATTTGCCTGTACTACTCTGCTCTTTGAGGTTTTGTGTCCAGCACAAAAGTGGCAACTAGGATGGTCATATATTTAAAAGAATATGATGTCCTCATAAAAAGGCTCTAATTTCTCTCAGCTGCTGTTCCCAGCAGCCATTCTCCCAGTCTGAGACCATTCTGAACTCCTAAAGTATCATACAGCATTTGTGTAAACTGCAACCAGGTGTCTTTCTACCTGGGATGGGATGCTTAGGAGCAGAGGTGGGCTGGAGCCAATGGGTAGATGATATTGGAATCTAATTTCCTTGTGAGGAAAAACAGTGGCCTAGATCGTCCTTTGTTGGTCTTGTTGCCCTGGATTTGAGGGGTGTGTATACCCCAGAATGTGATCAAGTTAATTGCAACCATATTATGACCGGTTTCAGAGTAGCAGCCGTGTTAGTCTGTATCCGCAAAAAGAACAGGAGTACTTGTGGCACCTTAGAGACTAACAAATTTATTAGAGCATAAGCTTTCGTGGGCTACAGCCCACTTCTTCGGATGCATATTATGTGCATTCAGCCACCCTAAAGTAATAAAACACCACATAGTTAAGGGTTAATTTAAAAACAGGCTTTTAAAAGCAAGGTTAAAACTAGCTACAGTTTCTGCTAATCAGAATGGGAGGAAAAAACAAACAAGTAAGCAATTAAAACTAAAAACCTTGGTGGTTAAAAAACCTTAAGTCTAAACACCTTTCATATTAAAAGTTAAAAAAAGTAATAATATAATAGGGATCATTATAATCTATGTGTTTTGTAAATGTTAGTTATAAAAAATTAGCTAATAAAGTGTACTTTAAAGCAGTCCTCAAAAGCCATCTTAAAAAACATTTTTCCTGACACCCTTTCTCCCCGGTGGGTAAGAAACTGGCCACTGCAAACCTGCTGTTAATTACTGAATACCGTTCCCGATATTAGGTAAATATCTGGAATATTCTAAACCTATTGCTTATGTTTGTATGTGCTTAAATTAATAAATTGCAGTTTTAAATAAAGCACGCTTACTTGCATAAATCTTATCAAACGGAAGTGCTATGTTCCTGTTAATTTATTCCTTACACCACCTGGAGTAAAATAGTTAAGTTGCCCCTGTTGGGAGTTCTAAAAACCCGAGGTAACAGTCTGTGCACTTGTTAAATTGCCAGCAGATTCCACTGTTCTGCTGGACAAATAAAACCAAGCAAAAGTTTCTGGCAGTACAGTAGAACAACAGGAGAAGAGATGGCTTTTAGGTCACCCTGTAATAAGTCTAACGCTATGTCGACGCTACATATTATGTCATAGAACTGATGTTGCTCAGGATGTGAATAAACCACCCCACTGAGTGACAAGTTACACCGACATAAGTGCCAGTGTGCACAGCGCTATGTCGGTGGGAGAGCTTCTCCCACTGACGTAGCTTCTGCCACTCGTGGAGGTGGTTTTATTATACCGACTGGAGAGAGCTCTCTCCCATCAGCATAGAGCAGGGGTGGGAAAACTTTTTGGCCCGAGGGCCACATCTGGGTATGGAAATTGTATTGTGGGCCATGAATGCTCATGAAATTGGGGGTTGGGGTGCGGGAGGGAGTGAGGGCTCTCGCTGGGGGTACGGGCTCTGAGGTGGGGCCAGAAATGAGGAGTACAGGATGCGGGAGGGGGCTCCGGGCTGGGACAGGAGTGAGGGTGGGGGGGTGAGGGCTCTGGCTGCAGGTGCGGGCTCTCAGGTGCAGGATGGTGGGACCGAGGGGTTTGGAGGGTGGGAGGGGGATCAGGGCTGGGGCAGGGGTTTGAGGTGTGTGAGGGGGTCGGGGTACAGGCTCTGGGCGGCGCTTACCTCAAGCAGCTTCCAGAAGCAACGGCATGTCCCTCCTTCGGCTCCTAGGTGGAGGCACAGCCAGGCGGCTCTGCGCACTGCTCTGTATAAAGGCGCTGCCCCTACAGCTCCCATTGGCCCTGTTTGCTGGCCAATGGGAGCTGTGGGGGTGGCGCTTGGGGTAGGTGCAGCTTGTGGAGCCCCCTGGCTGTCTCTACGTGTAGGAGCCAGAGGGGGGACGTGCCACTGCTTCCGGGAGCCATGCGGAGCAAGCCCCTGACCCCACTCCCTGGCAGGAGCTCAAGGGCCGGATTAAAACGTCTGAAGGGCTGGATGTGGCCCCTGGGCCGTAGTTTGCCCACCATCGGCTGCAGCACTGTACGTATAGACATGTCCTTACTCATAACCCTTTATGCCAATTCCTAACCTTCTTTGGTGTTTACAATCTTCAGATCCTTGTAGACAATAAAACTGGTTGTTGTTTACCCAAGCTATACCTAATTAGCTCATTTAAATCTTTCCTTGTGTCAGTTTCTCCAGTCCCTTAATCATTTTTGCAGCTCTTCTCTGAATTCCTTCTTAAAGACTATGATAATTTAGTCACTCTCTGTAGTAAAGAAAGAAATCAGTGCTTCTCCCCATGTGTTGGGAGACATCTGGTCAAAAAATACAGTTGTTTAGAAAGAGCTCATGTTTGCAGATTAGCTGATCACCAGGGTGTCTCTTTATTTGCTAGTTTATAAAACTGAAGTCAGAACAAAACAGATGGGGTGGTAATAGAGGAGGAAGGAGGCAACATTTATTCAGGGCTCTTTAGAATAAAGCTAATCAACAACAAGGTGTTAACTGCTCTTTCCTGTTCTACAGACACTGGGATTTCAACATACTAGAATCCTAGAATCAGCATAAAATAAAATTAGGCTTCCTCAGATCAAGTCCAGTGTAAACAAAGAAAACAAGCAAAAGAAATAAAACCCAAAAATGTGTATGCTCATAATTCTTCTACCAAAAGACTAGTTCAACTCTTGATGTTTTGCAGGCCAAATTGAACCTGCATGCAAGTTAGCCCAACTCCACGGTGGTCAAAGGAGTTCCACCAGGATTGAATTTGTCCTCATGAGCATATTCTGAAATTGTCTGGATGGGCTCGATCTTCCTAGTGCCTGTCTAACTCAGTCACTGAGTGTACATGCTTTTGATAATTATACATTTAAATCTCAAATCCGACATGCTCTACAATACTTAAGCACAGCAGAGTGATCTCAGAGTTTTGCAGTTCGGCCTTTGAACTTCCCAGCTCAGCTTGCATAACCTTTCCTTAACATGAATAAATTCTAATTTTTTGTAAACATACTTTTTAGCTACTGTCTGATTTGGATTGTGAGTTGATTTCAAAGTGGCAAAGACCATGGGATGACTTCTGTACCAAGGTTTGCTTTCTGGAATAATCCAAATGGGCCATTGGCAGCAGGGGTAGAAAAGTACCTATAGTGAAGGTGATGGAGCTGCCGAGCAACTCGTGTATGGTACACCCTTGAGCCCAAATAGTTATCTTCAGAGAGTTCTGAAAGACTAAACCATGTAAAATGAATAAGTAAATAGTAACTGAGCTGCCAATAAAGATGTATAATCTATCCTTGTTGGCCAAGAGGGTCAACAATCTGGTAATAGATTCTGGAACCTTTTATGTCCTATGGCTGTCTGACTCCAGACCATGTCACTGTGATTTAAAGTTCTTACCATGTGATGACTGTTTTGTAGCCTGTGTAAAACGAGCCGGTTGGTTCACCTCATCACAGCTGGTAACTCGTCTTAGGGTACGTCTATACTTACCCGCTGGTTCGGCGGCGAGCAATCGATCTTCTGGGATCGATTTATCGCGTCTTGTCTAGACACGATAAATCGATCCCGGAAGTGCTCGCCGTCGACGCCGGTAATCCTGCTCCGCGAGAGGAGTAGGCGGAGTTGACGGGGGAGCCTGCCTGCCGCGTGTGGACCCGCGGTAAGTACCTTTAAGTTCGAACTAAGATACTTCGACTTCAGCTACGTTATTCACGTAGCTGAAGTTGCGTATCTTAGTTCGAACTGGGGGCTTAGTGTGGACCAGCCCTTAGAAGAAAGGCCAAGTTCTGAATATGCTTGGAAACTGAACTGCTTTTTTTTACCCTCAAAGTGGTTTTCCTAGGAGAAGGAGAAGACTTCAATGTTCAGGCCTCTTAACCAGTGCTTATCACAAGCACTAAATTCACCTAAAAATTACCTTTTTCAAAGTCTGTAGTCATAACTCTTAACCTTCCAAGGCTCAGCCATGGGTCCCATTGCCTTAAATTGGAATTACACCTATTTATACTAGGATTGAACATGTGCCACATTGTGAAGCACAGACCTAAATAAGGGGCAGAAGCAAAATTAGTGCAGGTGGAGGGTGGGGAGGGGGCAGAGATGTGGCCTGCTTAAATTAACTAACTGCAACAAAGATGAAGAGAAATCATACCAATGAATAATCTGTGAAATGTGTTCTTTGGTGTCACTGAGTTTTGTTTTTTCTTATCCCAGGATGAAGAGGAGGAGATCAAACAGGAAATTAACATGCTAAAGAAATATTCTCATCACCGAAATATAGCCACATATTATGGAGCTTTTATTAAAAAGAACCCACCCGGAATGGATGATCAGCTCTGGGTAGGCAGTGCTTTTAAATGTCCTCTTCTTCCTTTTATAAGCATTGGGGTTTGATCTACTGAGTTTCCTCCAGTTGCACTCTAACTCCACTCTAAGAGCCATGGTTTTTTGTTTGTTTGTTTGTTTTAAATGCTATATCTTCAGATTGCTTGCACTCGCTTGCAGGCTGTGATGTGAGAGAACACACCCCTGTTTTGCCACAAAGACAGGATTATACCTTTGATACAGGAGTTGATCAAAAATAAACACGTAGGTGGAATTTAGTGATGCATTGAAGAAAAGGAAGTTTGGCCGTAGAATACTAAAGCTAAATAGTTGAATCGCTGGGAGTTCTGAGCCTGGGCAGGCTGCAGCTTCCACTGGTTTCAGTTGGAGTTGTAAGTGCTCAGCACCCCACAGGATCACCGTCCCAAACTCTCCTCCTCCCTACCTATCCTGCTTGTTTTCACTTGAATGCAGAGACACAAGATTCCAATGAGTGTCTTGGTTACTTATTCAGTTCCCCAAACTTTGAAGAATGAGGTTCAAATCTAGGTCTTCTAGCACAAGAGAAATGACCTTGGTCTCAGTCTGGATCCTAGTTGACATCTCTTCACCACACATCTGGCAGCATCTGTTCAGGAGAGACCCAAGGCTGGAACATCAGAAAGGGTGTTGCAATTCAGGATTCCATCTAGATCTTTGTCTCTTATTATTAGGGACGCTAAAAATTAATTCAAGATAATGTGCCAGATTTTGATTGGTTACACTGATGTAAATCTGTACTCCACTGAGTAACACCTGTGTAACTCAGATCATCATCTGTCCCTGTAATTATATCTTGTCTTTTTAATGTGGCACTTTTTAGGGAAAGTCACATGGTGGTCATGTTGAAAAGACTAAAAATTATGGGGAAATTAATTTAAATACAGCAACGTAGGTATTGTTTTGTAGTCTAAATAACACTTGTACTGCAAGTAACTAGAACTGTGATTTGTGCTGTGATAACCATGGTCAGATACAAAAATAATAGTTGCTGTACTGGAGCCAACCTTCTTATAAGCTCTGCCCTGCACTCAACAGTTTTTCCATTGAATTGTGGGAAGGGAGGAATTCAGACTCGATTTTTGAAGGGTTCATTAATTTGGGATTCTCCAGTTTTTGGGTGCTCAACTTGAGGTGCTCTCAGGCATGACTTGTATGGTGTGCGGAGCATCCACGATTCCACTGCAAATCAGTGCAGAGTGGTTGGTGCCTATCACTGTGGAAAATCAGGCTGTTTCCATTCAGAAAAAAAACAGAAGCACCCAAATATAAGTGGCCATTTTTGAAAATTTGGGCCTAAAGCTCTCACTGACGGTTCGCTGGTATACTCATTTGAACCCCATAGAGTTGTTGCAGAGCATTGGTTTACTTAGCATTTCATGCAGCCCAGGCTTTTATTTGGCAGCTCCCTATGGTTCCCAGATAAATTGGTTCACCTGTTTATTGTCATATGCATGTGCCAAAATGTCAACAAGTCATGGGAATAAAATCAAATCAAATCAAGGAATACATGACTTCCGTGACATCTGTGACAAAAAATCAGCTGAACTGAAGGAGCACTGCCAGTGATCCCTGTATTTAGGTTGGCTCAGGCTTTTCATTATAAAACATTCTTACAATTTATTATTCTTTTATTTATTAATATATTTATTTTTAGAACCTCTTGCACATCCTTTGTTTGTGGCAGGTCTATACAGTTCAACAAGAAGAAAGCCCTTGGGCTAGAGAAGTGCCTTTTCTTTGTCTCATGAAATTCCATTCAGGTTTAGTAGTCTTAGAAGCTGTTAAAATTACCATTTCCTTTGTGTTGCTTGTGTTCCTGGGGAAAATGTTGGTTGTTTGCTAACAAAACTAAACACAACCCTTCTAAAAAATCAGGCTCAGGCTGCCACCACAGCATCAGATGCTGCACAGAGAACACCTGGGAGCTGCCAGAGCAGCTGTAGCAGCTGGGGTAGGGGGGAGAGCTCAGCTGTGCCATGCCAGGCTTGCCTTCTCCTGACCATGCTCAATGGCCCTAGTGTCCCATCCCATCTTCTGGGACACCACATGGCACAGGAGCTCTCCTAAACTCTCAAGATAGAATCGTAAGACTGGAGGGGACCTCAGGAGGTCTTGTAGTCCAGTCCTCTGCACTCATGGCAGGACAAAGTATTATCTGAACCATCCCTGATAGGTGTTTGTCTAAGCTGCTCTTAAAAATCTCCAATGATGGAGATTCCCACAACTTCCCTAGGCAATTTATTCCAGTGCTTAACCACCCTGACAGGTTAGGAAGGGAGAGCTTGGGTAGGCTCCCCCAGACCTTCCCTTTGATCAGCACATTGCACCAGCAGTTATCTTGTCTCTGGGATAATAGCTTTCTCTTGCTGCTGGCTTTGTAGTTAGCCCTATAGCTCAAGTGGTAGCAGTCTATGCTTCAGTGCTAATGGAGGTTCTGGGTTCTCACCGTGTTGATGGTGCATGAGCATGTTGTTATAGTTGTACATATTGGAATTTGTTTTTACCTTGTTGCTGTTTCTGTCTGATGATTAACTCTTTTCTGGTCAGACAATTTTATTTCTAAAGCTCCTATCCAAGGGCCTCCACAGCTACCCAAACTTGCTAAAGATAAATAATGCCAGGAAAGAATCTCACATAAATAGAATAACCTCCTTTGTCAAACCCTCCCCACCAGGCAAATAAATGAGCTCCACCTCCTTCAGATAACTGGAACCAAAGAAGGTGCAAGCAGGAATTGTGATTTCCCCCAGAGCAGCGGTTCTCAAACTTCATTGCACTGCAGTCCCTTCTGACAACAAAAATTATTACACGATCCCAGGAGGGAGGACTGAAGCCTGAACCAGAGCCCAAGCCCCGCCTTCAGCCTCAGGTCCGGGGGGGCTTGGGCTTCGGCTTCAGCCCTGGGCCAAGCAAGTCTAATGCCAGCCCTGGAGACCCCATTTTAGCGGTCCCAACCCACAGTTTGAGAACCACTGCCCCAGAGGATTCTGGTGACCCCCTCCACAAGTGTGCAAGGGAGAGAGCTTCTTATATCCACCCCTCCATTTGCATCCCTTTGATAACTGAGTGCACATCTATGACCCGTGTTGTACAGGAGGTCAGCCTAGATGATCTAATGGTCCCTTCTGGCCTTTAAAAAAAAAATCTATGAATCAACCCCTCAGGAGCTTGGCCAGATTCTGGACCTTTACTTGAAGAAGGGATTAATCACAACCATTTAAAGCTTGCAGGCTATTGATGAAAGCCATGCTACGTTCTATCCTCTTTAGGTTTAAAAGTGGTTGAGTGGATAGAGTTTTAGAAAGTCTATGTCCTGTACTGGAGCTGAATAAGAGGTGTTCAAGGGAAACTCCTTTGACAGTGGGAGAAGGGCAGTGCTTTTGTCTCCACATTAAATCACTGTTGTTTAAGGTATCTGATAGAATTCTCATATGTTCCAATTTCATCAGTGGTTGCTTCAGAGATAAAGGTGTGTTTATTTTTCACCGGCTCTTTATTGAAATAAAACTGTTTCTGATAATGCCCAAGTAATTCTCTTTATCGACACTGAGAGGGCTGATACGGAAATCGAAAAAGGGAGCTTTTTCAATAGAGATTAAGATCTCTCGGAAACGAGGCAAGCGTCTGACAACATATTGTCATTCCTGTGCGGTACCATAGTGGTGAAGAGGTCTTTCAGTTCTACTGTTCTCCATTCAATAACAGCAACCAGCAAAGAAACAATGAGCTACTACACCGACTAATTTTCCTGCACCTAGAAAGCTGCACACAGCATATTCTGCCGTGTCTCCTGACACTACAGATGCAGTATCACAAATCTGACATATTTGTAAAAAGGAAATAAAAATCACTTGTATACTAGGAAATGGAAGAGCAAGGTAAAATATTTGACATTGGAGATGGCAGTGACCTTGGGTTTTTTTCACCTTCTTCTGCAGCATGGAGTGCAGGTCACTGGCCGGGGTTATCTGGGTGTATCTCACTTAGCCTTGTCATTGCAGGCGCCTCTGGCATTGGTGCACCTAGGTCCCTCCTATTCTCCGTCTGTATTTAGGCCTTTGTGGGCTGTAGTACTTTGGTCTAATTTTGGTTGCTGGGTTTAGTGTGCAGCTGCTAGGTGATGGTGGTGGCCTGTGATAGACAGGAGGTCAGACTGGGTGATCTGATGGTTCCTTTAAGCCTTTAACTGTGTGGCTCTTAGTGTAAAAGACATTGAAATTGGTTTAACCATGTTTTGGTCAAAATGTTGCTTTCAGATGTGCATGACTGATATCTTTGATCTTCTCTCTTCTCATGCTGATCTTCTGTCAATGGAAGTTCTATGCATGTAGCTTGAGGAGACTATCTGAGACAAAATTCACTGCAAATCTTAGAGAATTTTGCCCCCAGACAAGTATTAGTTTGTCTTATCCAGGTAGATCGGTTATAGCAATGGGCATAAAGTAGCAGAGCTCAGCTAACATGTTGACTAGGTCATAAGGTCACTCAATACTGAGGAATGTTTTTGGGGAAATAGAGCTAAAGCGAACCAGCGAAACATAAAAATGCAGCTCTGATTTCCCCAGCTGCCTTTGTGTGTGGGTGCATTTTGTCAGCTAATGTCTTCCTTTATTAGGGCCAGACTGTTCCTGGTCCTTGTGGGTGCACAGAGAAGAAGGCACAAGAAATCTTCCCTCCTGCTTGTATGCCCTGGTAATTGCGGACGATCAGTCTGCTCAGGGTAGTGCATGGACTATTCCTACACATCCCCCTGTGGATGCAAATCTTCCTTCAGCGGGCGTGGGAGGAGGTGAGACAATGGCCCCTGTTGCATTAATTTAATGGAATATATGGGCCCAAAGAGTTAAAGGTATTAACATTACCCTAAAATTGTCCAACATTAAAGAGTGTTAAACGAGGTTCAGGGGTTGATATACAGAATGATATACAGATATGCTTTGTACCAGGGCAAACACCGTTAAACATCCGTTAAT